TGGCTCCTTTCGACGCGAAGGAGGAGCGGTTCAACTCCGAGTCCCTCCCGGATGACCGAACTTCTCCCCGTATCCCTAAGGGAGACACCAGCCACCCTGCGGAGAAAACCCATCTCGGCCGCTTGTATCCGCGATCTCGTTCTTTCGGTCATGACCCATCCTTCATGACCATAGGTGAGGGTAGGAACGAAAATGGCCCGGTAGACGGAGAGCTTTGCCTTCTGGCTTGAAGCCAGATTAAATTAAATAACTACTTCTCCAACCTTGTACTTTTCTTCAGAGTGCCGTGGTTCATTGTTTATTAATGTGTTATAGCGGCATTTACCGACCGCTGCAGTGCTGGCTGCTCTTCCACCGGAGTTTATTCTCCCGTTAACTCACACGGCAGTGGCCGCTGTAAAGTATTCACTGTCTGTCTGTCACACAAGCAGCTGATACATATCAGTTGTTGCCTGACTTTATAAAGTGTGTTTTTTTTATAAGTGTGTGGTTGCGTTCTATAGTCACTTTGCTCAGCGCTACTGCTTGTTACAACTTTTATTTGCCGTACTCGCCTGTTAGCTCAGGTTAATCTCGCCCCCCTCCGACGTAAGCGTGACGTATGCGTATGCGGTTCTTGATTCTAGACGACCATTTTTTCGAGCTTGGTAAGAACCGGCTCCGCTGCGGTGTGAACAGGAAAAAACGGTGCTTATCAGGCTGAAGCTCCGAACCGGCCCTGGAACCGCATTGGTGTGAAAGGGGCATTTAACGGGTCCAAATCTATGAGTAGTATGGCAGCCTAAAGCTCAGATTATCTCACACTCTACAGCTTTGATTTGACCATTCTTACATACTTTGTGGAAGTGAAATGGTACATTTTTTTTTAGGTATCTTCATCGCAAATAAAAAATCCTCCTTCGAAGTTATCCATCAAACATGTTGTGCAATACACTGTGTGACGCTGACAATTGAGCGGCCCGACCAAGCAAGGAGGCAGAGAGTTCAAATATAACCCGGTGTGGGCATTTATTCCTCATGCGCACATGATTCAGAACCTCAATATGACTGTCCTCCCTGAACACAGTCAGCAGCCACAAGGATCTCACACACACAAACAGGAAAAACAGAGCCTAAATACACACAGACTAATCAAACCAACAAGACACAGGTGAGGGGGGAGGAGACAACACAGGGCACCAGGTGAACACAATAAGCAGAAACAGACAAAACGGGAGGGGGAACACTTTTCAAAATAAAACAGGAAACAGACACAGACAAACTAAAACACCAACGAAACTATACAATCCGTAACGGAGGCCGAGATCTATGGCCCCAAAGATCCCCTCCGTTACACACTGTAATTGAATTTCTCTCCTCATTGCAGAACGAAGGACGGCAGTGAGTTTTTGTTTCATGCGAAAGATGAGGTAAGCCTTTCTTTTCTTCTAAATAAATCTTAGAAGGGAACTTTATTTATCAATCACATAAATTAAAAAAATGCTTAAAGACCTGAAGTTACAGTATTTGACACCAGTCAGAAACAGGAACAATAAAAGACCAATCAGCTGAAATGTGTGACCCCCCCCTCTCCCCGCAGGACGACCTCAAGGTTTGGGTGGGCAACATCACGGCCAGCATCACGGAGCACGAGGAGATTGCCAAATGGGGTCAGCCCCAACCAACTACCTCATCCACCGACGAGGGCACGCGGCACGACGGCAGCAAGGCGGACAACCGGTCAGAGCGGGGGGGGGAGGGCTCTGACCGGGGAGACCGCATCGAGCCGGCGGATATTGAAAAGGACAAAGAGAGAGACAAGGAGAAGGAGAGGGGGGAGCGGTCAGAGAGGTCGGAGCGAGGTGGTAAGTTGGAAGCAAAGCGCTCGGAAAAGTCCAGTAAGAAAAAGTGAGCCGGAACGCCCGGGATTGAATCGTACAAACTCCAGAAAGGAGGCGGGGCTTAGACTGGTAGTGAACGCCCCCCTCCTTCTCTCCGCCTCCATCACTGTCAACTCAGCGGTTGTGATTGGATGGGAAGGGACAAACAGGACAGAAGGACTGACCCAGGCTCACTCATAGGACGGACAGGAGCAGGAGACATGTCTCTCTCTCTCTCTCTCTCTCTCTTTCTCTTTTCCTCTGTGTCTCTGTGAGAGCACACAGAGTCACTGGCGACTACCCCCCCCCCCTTGTGGAGGTTTCAGGGAACTGCAGAGAGCCACTGAACCCCGGGCAGCGTTAAGAGAGACACACGCATCATGGCTGTTACTGACTGCTGGTAGAGCGATAACACGTAGCTCATTCTGTTCCATGTTTTTTTTTTTATATGAGATGAGCTGTACCGATATGTATTTCTTGTCTGTCTGTCCTATTTACTCTATCTATCTGTCTGTAAATCAAGACCTCCTACACTATGTCCTATTACTCCTCGGAAATCGTAACAGAATGAAATTATGCCAACATGTTCTACAGACAAACAAACTTAGAGAATTTTTGTTATGTTCACTTTCCAATTTGTCTCGAGGTCTGGTCTATAAAAAACTGAGAAGGGACACTGATTTGACTTTGATACCTATCAGCACAGCTACAGTACTGAGCTGATTCTAGGAAACCGAGAGGATGATGATGTAAGACAAGAGAAGAGTAGATGGCCGAGCAGAATGACAAACTACAAAACCATACAAGAAACCATCAAATGAATACAAGAAACAATAGAAAAACAGAAATCATTGCTCAGAGGGCCATAAAAATACATCCAAACATCCTGCCAAGAGAGTGCTAACAGAGAGCTTCCTTTAGTTTTATTGGACTCATTTAGGATTAAAGATGTTCTCATGAATGTTTCTTCAAGGTAGATCACATGGTTATTAACCTGTGATATAAACACTATACTATATCTATAAAAAGAAAAACTTGCAGTTCTTGGATCAGTGATCAGAGAGAGATCACTAATGTGATGCTCCCAGGGACCTCATGCATTAAAATTATTTTTCAATTCACTTTATTCATTGAAGTTGTATGTGAAAAATACTGCAAGCTGTATGTTTTGATATCTCTAAATGTCATTAATACATTTATGAAATTTAGATTTTAGCATCAGGATAATTTTTCAATAAATTACATGTTTGGCTTTGGTCATAAGCAGAACATCTGCGCCTGGCATGTTTTCAGTGAGTGAGGCTGAACACAGGCGTCATCTACTCTTCCATCGTCTTATAACATCAAACCACTCGTTGGGTATTCTCTTTGATTTATTCACACTAGTGTGTGTGTGTGTGTGTGTGTGTGTGTGTGTGTGTGTGTGTGTGTGTGTGTGTGTGTGTGTGTGTGTGTGTGTGTGTGTGTGTGTGTGTGTGTGTGTGTGGCTGCTCTCTGCTGTGTGTGTGTGTGTGTGTTGTGTGTGTTGTGTGTGTGTGTGTGTGTGTGTGCTGTGTGGCTGCTCTCTGTCCAGGGTCTCCCATACTCTCAGGTTATTTATGGTTAGCGTGTGCTTCACCGTGTGCTACACGACCGTGTGCTACACATGTACATATGTTTGTCCCCTCAGATGCCACCTCAGTCTTACAGACAGACACACACACACACACACACACACACACACACACACACACACACACACACACACACACAGATATATAACTCTTATAGGTTATAAAGGTGTTCCAGAGGTCATTAATCTGTCACGGTCAACATCCCATTAGAATGATACAGGCGTGAGTAAGTTAGTGGATGAAGAGACAGGATATCACATTGACCAAATATTGTAAGTAAGATGTGAGATTGCATGTTTTTCTTGGAGAGAAATCACTTGTCAATAGAAGCTTGTCTTTGCAGCCTGGTGACTCCATGCTTCAGTTCATGTTGCTATAAAGTCACCACAAAGCCATAACGGGTGGAGAGGGAAGGGGAGAAGCTTCTAAATGCAGCGGGGGAACTTAAGTCCCTTCCTGCCCTTGTACGAGCATCCTAGTCAAATATGTGTCAGATAGCATTTAAAATCCATTCCAATACCAATTATGTTTCAATATCACAGATACTGTGTTTTATTAGTTAGTTCAAGTCCAGCTGAAATGTGGCAGTATACATTACTGTGCTGTAAAACACAGTTCCTATTTTGGGATATAAATCACAAACCAAAAAGGAGAACATTTATATCTTAATATCTTTGGTTGCATGATGTTACTTTGTCTCTACTGCTGGAGGAGCTAAGCCAGCCTCTTTTTGATTATTTAAATAGTCCAGAAATAATTACCAATAGTCCAAATGAATTCATTCATATCATTTTCTCTAAAAGTAGGAATCTTTCAATTTCCTATTTATATCAGAAGTCAGTATTTTCCATTTTTAAATGTTTCTCGTTGTTTCTTCAAAGTGTCATTTTGAGGTTATGCCTCAATGTTCTTCTTTTATATCTGACTGCTCTTTATCTTAGGGGTGTACGTTCTTCTCTAGGATTTGACCTTCTGTCCTGACCTCTTTGTCTGGTTTCATAAAACATGTCTTGAGAACTGTTGCTTTCTCTCATCATTTCAACACACTGCATCCTCATTTGGTGTGCCCGCAGATCAATGCAACCATTTACATCATGCATGTTGGACACAACCAAGTCAGAGTAAAAAGGAGGTGAATTCTGAATGAGCAAATGTTCCACAGTGCGGCGGTGCAGTCCACTTCTGTGTGATTATGAATCAGCATGATAAACAGTCTCACGTTGTTGCCGTAGATACACACGGGACAAAACATGTAGGGTACAGCTAACCCGCTAACAGACAAAATTACAAATATGTCATTGGAACCATTTCCCACAGCAGAAGCCAGCAGATGTGTTAGAGTGTAAACACTGATGGTCCGGGTGGTGCCCTGCTGTCTGTGTGTCTGTGCTGTTCTGTTCACACTCAGTGTGTCGGCTCCAGATCAAATGATGAATAAAATACCTTTTGGTTTATCATTCATGTATTTATAGTTTTCTTTCCTCACTTTCAAATGTTGTTGATTTCAGTTTGGGTGCAGATCAGTGTTTGTCCAGCTCTCTGAACACAGCATGTCAATCCTAAGATACTTTTTATCAAACCAGAAATAAGAAGACACAGTTAAAAGGTGAATTATTATAGAGGGAAACGCTCATGCAGACTGACAATGAACATAGTTTGTCTTTGTTGCATCACCAAAACCACAGCAGTATGCAGTCATATGGAATGCAATGTATGAAGATTGTAGAAATGTTTGTAATGGAAGTATTGATGACGATGATGATGATGATGATGTTGTCCATGGTAGCAATGAACTGAAACGTTATGCAACTTTTTCTCTGCACTGAGGACGCTGCAGGTCTGGCAGCGGTGTGGCGGGGGTCATAGTCAGTAAAGTGCAAAGTCATCTCAGTAGGAAGGTTTTTAATAGAAACAGATCAGTTTTGTAATTGTTTTTGAGTTTATTTTTGTGCTACTCACATTTGGTGCATATCCCTGTATATGGCCTCCAGCTGAAACAAATGGCAATTAGCAACGTGAAGATTTAAGGCTTTTTCATCTGTTTTATAACATTATAAACTCAAAATGTATCATGTGGCTTTATGGAGATTACTATGAGGATTTTTCTTATTGTTTTCTAACGTTAATATGATTAATGAACAACATAATCACTGCATTCATTGATTATGAAAACTATTGTTAGTATCATAGCTGATTCATGCCTAATGTTGAACAGCTGTAAAGTTCCACTGTCATATTCTTCATGTGTTGATATTTAAAATGCTCATCTTCTGGTAACATGTTATACCAGCAGCGCTTTCAAATTCTCATCAGGCTTCTCATTGGCTGCTGCTCCAGTGTCCTCACAAAACACATGGTAACCTTCGAGATACACACACTGCCTGGACTAAATACACAATATCTGCTCATAGGGCTCAGACTACAGTGAAAGCAATCAACCGTACCTTTATAATTAGAATGTATTTTTTTAATCTAGCTTTATTTATATGTTCCTGACGACAATCAGTGCTGGCATATTGAACCACACATGAATGCAGCAAAGGTTGAATGGTGACTTCAGTTTGGAAATCTGATGGATTTAAATAACTAACAGTTATTGAATGGGGGATGATGTGGACACATGGATGTTTTATTGGAGGGTTGATATGTAAACAAATAAATGCACAATTTTCTTACAAAAGAATGATCTGCATCATTAGACTCAAGGAGCATCAGATTGTCTCACTTTTCTGCAGAAAACCCCTCATTTCCTGTGATCCAAACAAAGAGAATTATTTCTAAAAATACTTCCAGATAGAATTCTGACAGAAGGAATCCAGTACTGACTGAATATCTGCTCCCCCCAGGACCCCAGAGCGCCGCTGCCTCTCTGTCTGCCCGTAGCCTGCCTCTCTGTCTGCCTGCCGAACAGCTACCTGATGATGTAAATGTATGTTCTCAGAGGTCTTTTCTGTCAAACAAACAAGAAAATGATTTTATCCATGGTGACAGGTTGTTATGTTAAGATGTGTTGCAGTGGGATTGGGCTGGACACGATCCACACAAACGCAACAGGACAAAGAGGTTGCATGAATGACAAAGTCGCTATTATGGTACTGCTGTGCATGTCTTCAAGTCCCATCCCTCCACTATGCAATCACTGTAACACACTGGGGAAACACAAACTACAACATGACAAAAGGGTGAATGAAAGAACAAATAATGTACAAGATGATCAGAACCAACGGCGAATAATTTGCCCTGTACAGTCCTTTCTTTGAATTGATAAATACAAATTGTGATATTGAAAGATCATGTAAGTGTGTGTGTCTTTTTGTGAAGCAGATAAGTGAGGTCTGGGGCCCTGGAGACCTTTGTGTTCCAGGAAGGGCCACAAAGTGAGAAAGTGATTGTAAAAGTGTGATTATTTGAGGTTAGGTCTATTTGTATTGTTGCCTAATAATGCATGCCGTAACTGCAAGCAGTCCAGGACAAAGGAAATATGTTTTTGTCACTTTAGAGACAACCCTGTTGTTGATAGTTGTCCTCTTGGTGTGGTGATGGTATAATGCAAATAAGTGTTAAGGCCCAAATAGGCTGATAATTACAGAAGAGGATTAGGGCCACATTATTATTTTTGGGAGGATTTGAAAAAAAATATGTTTTTTTTTGTTCTGAGATTAAAGTCAGAATTCTGATTTTTTTCCCCGGAATAAAAAATATATATTGTTTTTGGGATAAAAAAGTCAGAATTCTGACTTTAATCTCAGAATTCTGACTGTTTTCTCAGAATTCTGACTTTCTCCTCAGAACAAAAAAACATAA